TTCCCTTCCTTTCCTTTCCCTTCCCTTCCTTTCCCTTCCCACTTTAATCCAGATAATTCCATTTATCAAGGTTATTTAACAAGCATGTCCTCTTGCTGTTGAGTCAACCTAACTGCTCACCAAGCTCTCGTGCTGTTGTGCTCCCAGTGATAATTCTGAAGCCTTACAAGTGTTCTCAGTTGTAAATCACAGAATCACAGAATGGTCGAGTTTGAAAGGGACCTCTTAGGGTCCAACCCCTAAGATTGAGGAGGGTGGGGATCTTAAGACAATGTGCATAGTTTTCTCTGCTTGTGTTTTCCAGTGTTCTCTTAAGTTGCTATGCAGAAAGGGTTCTTTTTCTTCCATGTCATGGTATAAAATTGCATTAATAAAAGAATGTTTATCATCTTCTTGATCCATTAATCAGAAAAGTTTCTAAACAACTTCTAAAAATCACTACAGAATATGGATTTCCAAAAACGACGTGAACCCTTCAATGCTGTGCACAGCAATTTGCATTTGTCTTACTTTTTTTTTTTTTTTTTTTTTCTGAAAAACCAGATTCTCCAGCAGTATATTAAATCAAAGGCAACGAGCTGCACAGACTGACATTTAGTTACACAAAGTTTATAAGAAATTAAGGCACTGAATACAGAGTGACTTTCTTGGAACTATCCAAACACAAGCAAATGTGAATAGAATTCTTGAAGATGAATGAGGCCATCTCAGTGGGTCACTTAGGGATCTCAGAATAAAATCTGAAAGAGCCTGCAGAAATAGTGTCACTGCCTTTGGAAATGATGCGGTGGCATAGCAGTCTGTCAGAAGGATACACAACCCAAATCATTACAGGTGAGGATGTAAGAGGCTGGAAACTGCTCAGGGAGGGGAGCAGCTTCCCAGACAGCATGAGTACTGGCCTTTATAGAAACACAGAATCATGGAATCACTGTGGTTGGAAAAGACCTCTAAGATCATCTTGTCCAACTGTCAACCACCTTGCCCTTAAACCACATCCCTCAGTGCCACATCTCCACAGTTCTTCAACACCTCCAGGGATGGCAACTCCACCATCTCCCTGTGCAGCCTGTGTCAGTGCCCCACCCCACACTTTCTGAGAAGAAATTTTTACCTAATATTCAACCTGAACCTCCCCTGAAGCAACTAAAGGCCATTCCCTCTCATCCTATCACTGTTACCTGGGAGAATAGACCAGCCCCCACCTTGCTACAACCTTCTTTCAGGGAGTTGTAGAGATATTCATTTCCCTAATGCCTGCTGAGGTCTGTGTGGCAAAGGGGGATATGGTGGGCTCATTGCTCAGGTCCACTGATTCTTGTCCTCAGACATCGCTGTGACTTGCTGGTACATCCCATGGTTGTGCCTTCCGTGTTCTCTCTTGGCATCTCACCCATTCTGCCAAGATGCAACCTGCATTATCATAACTCACAGCTCCTTGCATCAGCATCATCTTGTACTGTTCTTTTCTGGACAACAAGCCTAGTCCCTTAGGGGCAGCACATTTAGAAATGTCAGTTCTCTCCTCCCAGTATTCTGCAGATCCAGAGATCTTCTCTTTCTCATTCACATCAGGAAATAACACAAGACTTAGGAACTGCGTTTATTTTTGTATTTGATGCATCATGGCTCATTTCCACATAAGCAGTACTCAGGCACTGATCTTTCTGAAGGAGCATCTTCCCTTACAAAGCAGTTTTTTCACATGCTTCCACTACAGCACCACAAACACCCCTGAGCTGTGCTCATGTTTTTACGCAGAGGGCTGACTTGAGGGCTTTGGCAGGTTTCTTTATCTTCATTTGAAAACATTCTCTGGAATTTGCTTGACTCGCTCCTCTGGAAAAGGAGAGAGGTCATTTTTAGTTTCCCAATGGAGGAAAATTTATTGGCAGCTGTTGGTGGTGGGCATGAGCTTAGCTGGCAGCAATGGGAAAAGAGATGGAGGGAAATCCAGGCTGCAGTGCTATCATCGTCGTAGCACTGCAGAGGTTTGTAATAGTGTAAGTAGTAGTTACTGTTGTTTATTGGATTAAAAGAACAATGAGATGAAGACTGCTGGGGATGAGTGACATATATAAGGCTGGCCCACAGTATCCTGTAATCTAGCCAAAGGCCAACCAGAAGGGCTTGTATTCTGAAGGAAATCATTATCAATTGTCTGGACTCATTTTTACAAATATTAACTCCTTCAAAGCTGCTGGTAATAAATGAAGACTAAAACATTGTTTTGAATCCCTCTTAAGATGAAAAGATTTTCACGAGTGGAGGAAATTGAGTGAAAATTTGCACTAGAGAACATATGGCTACATTGCAAGAGATTGCGAGCCCCATAAAATGACCTATTTCCTCTTTATGGCTCTCTGAACCACGTAGTGAGCTCATCCTATCAGGCTGCCAGTGGCTAAACTGAACTGGAAACAGCAAAGCCCTGAGCATTGTTGTGCAGGAGTTTGTTGTTTGTGTAACTCTGCCATCCCAGGGGGGCTGGCCATTTATTCCCCTATTTGTTTCCTTCCCTGAATTGCCTTAATTCAACTAAATTCTGTCAGCACTTAAACCAAGGGGACCCTATTAAAGGCAAATGGACTGCGTGTTCTTCCTCCACAAATGCTCATCATTCAAACTGCCCAGCTGTGGGATGAAGTGGGAGTCACATTGCCCTAGGTTGTCTCTTGGAGAAAAAAAAGAAAAGAAAAGAGGAAGCAATTACAATGTCAATCCCTCTGTCAGCAAGAGTCAAATTTGATCTGCCCTGCTCCACACAATCCCACCCACTCTGCTCCAGCCTGCAAGGAGACACGTGGGACAGGCACTGCAGCATGGCTGCTGCTCCATGGCCACCACTAGCCAGCACAGGGGATTCCCACTTGCTGCGCAAGAACCCCTACAGATCACAGCTTATCACTCTCCTATTGGCTGTCATGTTTTTGAGGGCAGGACTTCAGATTTCATTAGCCACCCCAGTTGGATGCAGATTGTTTCCTTCCACTGAGTTCTGTGTGTGGTTTGCATTTACGCCCACAGAGATTTGGTCCTCCTGCTCATACCAATCAGAGGAACTACTGTTGTAAGATGTTTTTACATCATCTTTGTGGAGAGGTAGATTGGGAACAGAGCATTTCTGTGCTTGTGTCCCCAGTCTGGGGGCTGCCTACAATCCTGTGATTTAAGAAAATCAGTGTCTATTTATAACTTCTGCTATTTAGTTTGAGCAGACAAACTCTTTGAGAAAGCAGCATCATATGGTGCAATGCAGCTCCTTCAATTCATTAATTGCATATTTCCAGTGATAACAAAGTACCACCAAAAAATAAAATTTTAAGAATTTGTGAGGCTGTGACTTGAGGAAATGGTAAATCTGCTGCAGAACCAGAACTTGGAGCTCCAGAGGTTTTGCTGTGTTTTGAGTGCTGATTTCGGTAATGGTCAGAGGGGAACACTGCTAACATTTCAATTTAAAAGTATCCATAATTGTTTCTAGGAGTATGTGAACCATCCCAGGCCTTCAGTCTAGCAGAAGGAAGAAATTTATCTGCAAGCTTCTCACGAGTTACTGTGCTATTGTAAGACACACGTCTTAGGAAGAGAAGTCAGACGTACGTGTGCTTGAAGCATCTTCCGTTTCTGGAAAGTGCATTTTTCTGTATGTTTTGAAAACATATTAATGCAGAAACTTGTTTGACATAAAGTGATGGACTGCAAGTTCGTTGAATCACTGTTCACTGAGATAGACATGAAATTCCTGGTATTCTTCCTAACTTAATCTGAAATTACAATGCGACCTCTGGTAGAATAGGTCAAAAGTAGGGCCATAGATATAAATGATGACTCACATGAAGTTTTGACTCTGGCAGCTATCATTACACAACCTATTAATATAGAAATTACACACTGGATACACACACATCTGGCTTGT